ACCCATTTCTTAGTGCAAAATAAATCACTTGAACAGAGTGCAAGCCAATTTTTACTTTAAAAATGTTGTGTCCTAAGGCTGTCTTCTTGAACTTCAAAAGCACACTTTGTAATTACTCTACCTATCAAAGGAAACCCAACATTTCACCTCCAATCTTCTTCGGCTTGGGTTATCACTTTTAATTGTTAATAAACCACATTAATTTTAAACCAATTATTCTGTTTGGGAATTCAATGTTTTCAAACAGAAGAACTAAATTATAAATAAATAAACTTATTTATGTACAAGCAAAAGTTCAGTGAGGCTTTTTGTCGCTACCTGTCATTGGTTTCATTTTTAGTCATTTCTGTCATTTTGGAGAATCACAGCATTTGATGTCTCCCAGTTTTTTAAGGAATATTTTTTCTGGGAAGAAGAAGGATAGAAAAGACCAGGGATTTTTTTTTATCTCAGCCCCTTCCCAACATTGATATCATTTAAGAGTTGTCTGTCTTCTTGGGACTTGATAGTTTTGTTTGTTTATTTAGATTTGGTTTTAGTCTTAAAGAGAAGTGGAGGGCTAAAAAATAATTTGCAAAGCTCAGACCACATTATCAACCTATGCAATTCATTCAGATTTACTTAAACCTTCATTTTCTTAACAAATATTTTTCCCAAGCAGAAGTTAACTAGAGAAGTGTTCCTTGTTATCAACTCCCCTGCTGCTGTAGGTACTGATTATATCTATTTGACAAAAGCCTTTGCTTGCAGATCATATTTTTTCCCAGCCCAGCCAATTTTCTGTGTGGTAACAAACAAAATGTCCTTGAGACAGAAACATGGCATACTTGTTTCTATTTTGGCACAGAGCTCAGAATTCAGGAACTGACAGTAGCTCTTACCTAACATCTTTCTCTCTACCCTACCTGTGCTTGTGTGCTGAATTCACCCCTGAAAAGTGTTCCTGCTCCTCCACCCAGCAAGATCAATTCTTCAGTGCCCTCCTCAGCCTCCTGGACACAACTGACAGGCTTTCCTCTGATCCCAACCTGGAGCATCTCTCATCACCACCGTCATCATCCTCTACCAAGGATTTACTGGGATGCCAGATACTGTTCTATGTATTCTAAGTGTCTGATCTCAAGTAATTCTCACCACAACTCTATTTGGTAAGCACCATGATTAATCCCTCTCTATATATAGGGAACCAAGGCATGGAGAAATTGGTGGCCAAGGACCCTCAACTGGAGATTAACAGAGCAGGCCAATCCAGGGATTGTGCCCACAAGAACTCTACCATATCTTCTCTACCATTCAGCTGCTTGGTCATCTACATAGCTGTATCTCTATTGGACCCTGCATTCCCAGGAGACAGAGGCCATCTCTTATTAATTCTTACATTACCATAGTGATATAAGCCATAGTGACTGGTAAGTGGCAGGGATTCATTAACTACTCAAGGAAAGAATGAATGGGTTTCTCCTAGCATTTCTAGGTATATGAATTAGGAAATGTCTCCACAAAAAGATGGCTTTTACAACATCAGTGAAAAAGCCATCACACTGGTGGCCCTGAATTGTATAAGGCCTTAAACCCAGGTCTGTCCTTTCCTGAGTAACCAACATAACTGACCTTTGCAGCCAGGTAAACACTGACCAAGTATCATCTCCCCTAGAAAGTGATAGGAAGTTACGGGTCACAGATGATGTTTGACATATTAGAATTCAGTGATTGAGGTTGGTTTAAGCTAGCAAGGCTGACCCTGGGTTGGTGGTAAAGTAGGGAAGGTTGGCATCACATATCTTTCTAATTCTTTGTGGCACTCAACTAGCAAAATAATAATTAGGTCCTATCAAAATGTATGAAACTTGAGAACATTATTTTAAGCAAAATAAGACAAACTCAGAAAGTGGAGAATTGTATGTTTTTTCTCATATGTGGATGTCAGAGAGGAAAAGGAAAAGAAATAGGGGAAATCTCATGAAAATCAAAGGGAGAGCAATAGAGGAAAGAGACCAGGGGGAGGGAAGACAGGAGGGAAAGGGGGAACTACTGGGGAATGATACTGGCTAAATTATATTGTTATATCACGTGCATGTATAAATATGTAACAACAAATGCCATCATTGTGTATAATTATAGTCCACCAAAAAATAATATGGAAAAAAACCCCAAAAATTAGATCCTATCTTTTCCCAAAATTTAACTAAATATTCAGCATATTTACAAATTGGAAGTGGAAAAGAAGTAAACAAAAATAGTGACAAAAATAGGAGAAAAAAATGGAATTTAAGATGAGGCTAATACACAGTTGCATAATGGTGTCATTCTTCAGTGGTTATGGCTGGAGCAAAGGATTGAAACATACATAGTACTTTGTCATATACGTTTATAAAGAGGCTCTTACTGGATCTCCACGGTGGCCAATTCTTATAGCTAGTGTTTCTAGGTCCAGGTGGCAAGTGAGGAGCTAACTGGAGGCTCAGAAATCAGGGAACTTGACTGAGTTCGTCCAGTCGTCAGTGCTTAAGGCTGTCAGTGCCAAGGCTGAACCCTTCAGGGTTGAGGAGCCAATTTTCAAGTGTCTTGCCTGAGAGGCCTCACAACTCAAGACACACCTAAGCCATCTTTCCCAAATAGGAGAAAATAATAACCACAGTTCTGGTCAAATATTTATTTGTCCCTTCAACCTACAATTAAGTGTAATAAGAAGTGCAGCTGTGTGAAATCTGAGTTGATTCTGGAACCAGTGTTTTGTGGAGTATGATGGTGCATCTGCCCACATTCCTCCTGACGTAAGTCACACGTTCTCTCTACCTTCCTTATGGCTCAGGCCTAGACATAATTATCCTCTGCCAGCTTTCAGGATTTCAATCAGAAACTTTCCCTCCACTTCTTTACTATGAGTCCCTTGGATTTTACTGAAACCTCTTAAGGAGGACGGGGTTAGGGGTGGTGGCCCTGGGCAGAATGGGCACCTCTCTGCACAAGGCATGAGGAAACACGTGGATCAATGTTATGTTACACAGCTTTCCATCACTATGACAAATACCTGAGAAAAACAACGTAAAGGAGAAAGAGTTATTTTTGGCTCATGGTTTCAGAAGTTTCAGTTCGTGGTTGCAGGCTCCATTGTTTTGGGGCCTGAGGCAAGTCAAAACATCATAGCGAAAGGGCATGGAAGAGAAAAGCCAGAGAAAAGCCGATCACTTCATGGCAGCCAGGAAGCAAAGAAAGAGGAAGAAGGGGCTGGGAACAAGATATATTCTTCCAGGCACACCCCAGTGACCTTTTTCCTCCAACTAGGTCCCATCATCTACAGTTTCTACCACCTCCCAACAATGCCGTCAAATATGAATCCCTCAGTGATTGACCCATTGGTGTGATCAGAGCCCCATGATCCAAAAACTTCCCCAAATCCCTACCCCTGAACATTGCTGCATCAAGGTCTAGGCCTTCAACATGGGAGCTTTTGAGAGACACTTCATATTCAAACAATAACAACACATCCGCATTCTGATGCTGCTCCCCCTCCTTTGTTAGGTTGAGACTAAAATACGAATCAGGAGCGTTCAGACATAGGTACCTGAAAAAAATGCAAAAACCAAGCAAAAGAAAGAGTGCTCGTGAGCAGGTAATTTCTGGGACAACTGCTTCCAAAGAGGAACCAGTATCTCACTGGTCTCAGTGATCCATGATCTCCTCTCCCCCATCCCCTTTATCTTCCACACCCCCCTATGACCCCCACTGCCACCACCAGCTACCTCAGAACAGCTTCCCACCCTAATGAAGTGGATTCAGACATTGCCTTCCCAGAAATGTGCTTCTGAGCCTCTGCTGTCATTGTCAACATCTGCAGAAGGCCCCACGGCAGGGTACTCCAGTCAACACGGGGAAGAAACATAATGCTAGCCACTTAGACGTGGGATTAGTGCTGGCCAGACACACCAAGGAACAAAAATTCCTTAGCCTCCTGCTGACTGATTGTGTGCAGGAGAGGTCCAGCTGATGCGCTAGCAATCTTCCCTGAACAATAAAATAATATAGTGCTTTCTATGTGGAGATGGAATTACCACTAATGGGATTTTGCCAGTGACACAGTGCAAATGTAAAAACTGCCCCCACCTTTACTGACCTTCCTAACATGGCCTGTTTCTGGCTGTGATAATGTACCAACATGCAGACGATTTTTCTATAGAAAATTAATCACAACTCTAGGAGGGGGAGAGAAATCCAACACCATTTTAGCACTATCTTGAGTCCCACTACTTTGTCTATCCATTAAATCATCCATACTCAATAGAATGAACTTATTTTTTAATGCTTGTGGAGGATCAGGAAATAACATCAAAAGATATCTTTAAAAAAGGGGGGGGGCATTTTAGGAACTAGTTGAACAATCTTCTTAGTCAAATACTCTGACAAAACTTCCACAAATCAGCAGACCACTCATTTACTAGAACAAGCTTTGGAGATAATGTCCAAACCCTCATTTTTACAGATATAGATGTTGAGGCCCAAAGAAATTAAATGAATTTCCAAAATCAGAGTACCGATTAGTGTTAGGACAAGAAACCACATTAACAAGACAAGTAGTAGGGAAAGTAGTAAAAGATAACAACTTCCAGAATCTAAGACAGCTGGGAGAATGCAAATCAGAGACATACCTACCCTGACATCCCCCTCTGATCCCACAGGAGCCCCCTTTGTCATTCCCACAATTCAGCTCCCTCTATCTGTCCTGGAGGAGGAGCCATCTAATAGCAGGGGACAATGCTGTCACAGATATTGAGATGACCAGTCATTTGAGTCCCTTCCTGCCCTCAGAGGACCTATCTTGCCCCCAGATGATCGCAGAAAAGCATATGGCACTTAAAGTAGCTATAATTTCTTTTTTTAAACCTTATGAACAGAGAGAGAGAACCAAAAAAATATGAACAGAGAGAGAGATAATAATAAAAAAAAAAACTGTCGCAAAAAAGAAAAAAAAAAAGTTAGAGCACTTATTTTCTTAGGCTTAAGCAGCAGAAGTATATGACCTTCAATTTTTTTTAAGTGCCACAATGAAAAATGAGTTCAAAATGTTCATCCTTTTGCAAGTAGACAGCTGAAAGACCCTCTTCAAGTTGCTTACAAAAATAAATTAAAGAGGAATTGGAGAGAAGACTGCTGTCAATGCTATTGAGCTTTAGGTTTTTTTTTTTTTAAATCAATATTATCACTTAAGAACTAGCTTCCTTTTTTCTACTATCTGATACTTGTAGCTTGAAGTAATAGTTGGCCCTTGGTGACAGCACTCAATAAAGAGGCCACATCTGCCTGAAATGGTTCTCAGGGAAGCTGAAGACCAAGCTTGTAGGCCTTAAGGGAATCCCAAAGACTATTTGGATCCTAATGTATTCACTGTTGATTTATTTACGGATTTTTTTCCCTCTCAAACTCCTTTGTGATGTTTAATAATACATAAAGATAAGTTTTACCATATAAATTAAAGGGATCACCATCACCAGCTGTATTGAAGACAACTGTTAAACTGTTGTTCAGAGTGTTCAGAGCCTGGATTTGCAAATCAACATCTAACACTGCACATTTCAAGTAACTGAACACATCTGGGAAAAGAAACCCACTGCCACTTTAAAAACCTGCTTCATTCTCTAGCACATCGTGGGTGCAATTAAAGAACCAAGTACACAATTAAAATTCAGGTCAGCACACAGCAACAACGGGGCTCTTTGATGTGAGGTCAGCCTTGGTCATTCTCATATACTCATTAAACAGGTTAATCAACTTAGTGCAGGATATAGGACAGGAGTAACCAAAAATCTATTTAATTACCATTACCCTGAGAGTTTCGGCAGGAAGATCTGTTTTATGTGTGTGACAGAGCAGCTGCTGTTTCACTGTCAATGTATGCTGAAACTAAAGGCGCCATTTCTAGAACTATGTGCTTTCTTCAGGTTATGAAATATAGTTATAAATATTTGCATTTATCATTAATTAAAATATTCTAAGAATAAATGGTCTGGTACATGTCTTTCTTTTTTCTTCCTGTACATCTCTCTTTTTTGGTTAAAGAAACAAACCACGGGTCAAATTTGCAAACTATCTCATGCTCTTTGAATTGTTTGCCTTTCTTTGAGTCAAGGTACTGTTGTGATACATCCAGTTCAGATGAATAAACTGCATCCGTATTCTCCTAATGGGCTTTGTACAGTTCACAAAAGGTAGAACAGTTAACGTGAATGATTGGTTCCTGCTGCATATGCTGTAGTAGAATGACCTGGACTTTAAGGTCAAATTATATGGATTCAAATCTAGCTCCCTGATCTTCAGATAGTCATTTGTGAAGATAATAAAATTTACCTTGGAATGAGGTTGTAAGGATACAATAAAATAATGTCTATATTGTACTTAACGTAGTGTTTAGAACATGAAGGAACTTAATGGGGAAAAAATTTTGTCATTAAGAAAATGTTTTCCTAAGTCACCCAGAAATCATTAATCAGGGTGCAATTTTCTTTTCCTAAAATTGTAATTCAGTACTTCTTAATACAAACCAGTGATTTATGGTGATGAAATTTAACATACAACATTTAATGTAAAATTAAAAGAATAAAAATCTCGAGCCAAGTGTGGTGGTCCACACCTATAGTCCCAGCTTCTCAAGAGTTGTCAAGAGGTTCACTTGAGCCCAGGAGTTCAAGGCCAGCCTGGGCAACATAAGAAAACCCCATCTCAAAACAAACAAAATTTCTCTCCTAGACTTTTAAATAACAGTCTAACAAGCTCAAGAAGAAGACACCAAGAAAGGATGTTATGGGAATTGGAATGCCTCTTGTTTCACACTCAAGATACAGAGGACTCCATTTTGGGGCAGTGGGAGATGGTATGGATACAGTCATGTTTAAAAATTACAAATAAATAAATAACTCTTGACTATTCCTGAGGAAAGTGCACTTGATTCTTCGTGATTGCAGAAGTTATGTTCTGCAAAGTTACTGTAAACACTGAGTCAGCAAGCACTAAGCATTTGTTCTTCAGGGAAATATCAAGTCTGGTTCCTTCAAGCCTCTAGTCACATCAATATACAAGCTTGTTTTATACGTGTGTGTGTTTGCTGTGACCAAAATACCTGACACAAACAACTTAGAGAAGGAAAGATTTACTCTGGCTTCATTACTTTGGGCTTGAGGTGTGGCAGGACATCATGGCAGAAAGTCGTAGCAGAGAAAAGCTCCTCAGCTCATGGCAGTCAGAAAGCAGAGGGAGAGTAGAAGGAGTCAGGGACAAGATATAGTCCCAAGGGCATGCTCAGTGATCTATTTCCTCCAACCATGCTCCGGCTACCTATAGTTTTCATCCTCTCCCAATAAACCATTCAAATTAATTCATCAAGTGGATTAATCCACTGATGAGGTTAGAGTCCTCATGATCCAATCATTTTCCAAAAGACCCACTTTTGGACATTGCTACATTGGGACCAAGACTTCAAGTACATAAGCCTTTGGGGGACATTCCAGATGCAAACAAGAACATTGTACTTCTGTTTAAAGACACTTTTTTAATATAGATTATTGATTCATGGTCACAGAATTCATGGACAACAGCACTAAACTCACACCTGAATGAAACTTATCTAACATACATATTTATCTGTATGGTCTTCTTGTGCTTAGGAACACAGGATATCCCTTCAGTACTATGCTTGGGGCACTATAAGCAGTGCAAGCAGTGAAATCACCAGAAGAAGAAGAAAGAGGAGAAGAAGAAGGAGAAGAAGAAAGTGGCACTAAATTGATTGCCAAAGGGAAAAGTGTGCAACACCTTTTTTTTGGTACTGGGGATTGAACCCAGGGGGACACTTTATCACTGAGCCACATCCTTAGCCCTTTTTATTTTGTCTCTTGAGACAGGATTTTGCTAAATTGCCAAGGCTGACCTCAAACTTGCAATCCCAGATTGCTGGGATTACTGGTGTGCTCCATGCCCAGCAAAAATCAAAGAACTGAAATGAGAAGGTGGAGCTTCCCTTGTTCAACATTGGCTGGGAAACTTGTACACTGGGCGATGTTGAGGGCCACAGCCGAGTCGGGATGACGCATGGCATTTTTGCCAGAAGTAGTGGTTGAGAGGTGACGCCAGTGGTTAAGATGATGACTTTTGAGTTCTCGAGGAGTTCCCGTTGAGTTCCGGTTGAGCTCTCGCGGGGATTCCTGAAGAGTTCCCGTTAGTTGGTGAGGTTCCGGTGGAGGGGTTTCCGGTTGGTGTGTGGTGTGTTCCTGGAGAAGCCGCATGGGTGGTTCGGGAGAGTTCCCGGAGAGTGTGTGTGGAATGCTGTTGGAGTTCAGGCAATAAAGTTTCCTGTTTGTAGATACAAGTGCTTTGTGGCAGCTCGGTGATTTGTGCCCAGCCAGACTGCGGCAGGGCAACCTGAATTTTTCATTCTTTGGGACAGGACTAAAAATGAGCGAATAAGTGCGAAAGTGTACAAATATGGATTGGAGTTACTAGTAAGTTTTAGCAAGTTGGTGAATTCATAAATATGGAAACTACAAGTAATGAATATCAATTGAAAAGTGAACATCTCATGTCAATAAGTCCAACACATCAGGATTTTTCTTCAATATTTGAAGGAAGACCATTTCAATGGGTCACACCTGTTGCAGTAGATGACTTGCATTCAGGGGCTAAATTGCAAGAAAAACAATAGAACAAAAGTAAAAATAAAATAATATTCTGGACAGTCTCAGAATGAGGAGATTCTACATGAAGCAATAGTGAACTGAAACCAATAAAAGGATCAGAAGATTTGGATCTCTTATCTCACATTTATCACAGAAGAGTAAATAAAAAAATAACAAAAAATAATAGCTAATAATTATGTAGTGTCTATTATGTCCAAGGAACAGTTTTAAATTTAATGTATTAATTATATATATATATACACATAGTAATTTGTTTGTTATTTTTACTAATATTAATCGTTTGAGTTATTGGTTTCCTTAATTCCCTTCTCCTCCCCTCTTTGGAAAAGATGGTTTTGGAGCTCCAGAAAGGAAGCTTCCCACATGCTCAAGTTCAAAGCCAGCCTCAGCAACTTAGCAACTCAGTGAGACCCTGTCTCTAAAATAAAATATAAAAAAGACTGAGTGGGCTGGGGATGTGGCTCAAGTGGTAGCACGCTCGCCTGGCATGCATGCGGCCCGGGTTCGATCCTCAGCACCACATACAAAGATGTTGTGTCCGCCGATAACTAAAAAATAAATATTAAAATACTCTCTCTCTCTCTCTCTCTCTCTCCTCTCTCACTCTCTCTTTAAAAATAAAAATAAAAAATAAAAAAGACTGAGGAGGTTGCTCAGTGGTTAAGCACCCCTGTTTTCAATCCCTGGTACCAAAGGGGAAAAATATTATAAAAGAGTATTATTTTTTTAAATGTAGCCAGGGTCCTGACCAGAGTCCCAGGACCCATAGTAGATCCCATCTCCCCCATGAGCCCTTCTCTGCCCATCCTGGCCCATGTTGGTGATCTAAGTAATCTAAGCTCTCTCTGCCTCAGCTTCCTGAACTAGCAAGGAAGGAAAAGTAATTATTAACTTGTTTGAGGTATAGCCAGTGGTTGAGGACCAGGGTTTGATCCTCAGCACCATGCACATGCGCACACACATGCACGCACACACACTTGCACATACACACGCACAAAAGAACAACAACCAACTTCAGAGGGCAGCGGTGAAGAATAGAAGAGCCTAGAACAGTGCATACTGGGTACTCAAGAAATGATATCTATCATCATCATCTACTATTACTAGGATAAAAACTTGAGCACCAACAGGTTTTGGCACTCAAAATGTCTATTAAATGTGACAACAACAAAGGATCAAGCATCCAAAGGCCTTGACTCTGAGCTCCATTTCTCCCTAGCACTCCTCAACTGTGCACAATGGCTACTGGAACGTTAGATTGGTCTGACTGGCCATACAAATCCCACATGTTCTTCTTCTCATGTCTGTGGTGGAATGCAGCACTTTGAACCATGTCGAGCGTCTGATTGAGGAGACAACTTGTTAGCGTGCCCACACCTGGGGTAGCAGAAGAAGTATTTCCAGAAGTTGGGGGATAACTGCAAGAGCCAAATAACTAGTCTTTCCAACCATTTGCTTCCCCTTCAGGACATTCTCCACAGGGCAAGAGAGTCTTTTGGAAGATGTGAGATAGACGGCAATACTTCCCCAAGCCCCCCTTTAAAGCTTCCCTTTAAATTTAAGGTACAACTTTCAGAGGTATCCTGGGCCTCTCCCCTACCCCAGGCTGCCTCTCCAGTGTCTCTTTCCCCCTTTTCCCTCCAGCTCCACACTTCAGGTTTAACCTTAGCTTTCAGTTCTCTTATCTCACAGACCTCTCACCTATCTCCCCCTTGAGTTTCCCTCTGTCTCAAGCAATTTTCTTTTCTCTTCACTTGATTAACTTCCACCCTCCTTCTGGGAAGTGAGTTTGACCCCTAAACCAGATTAGATCTCCCTGCTTTACTTTCTCCCAGCACCCAGTATTTCCTCACCCACCTATGCAGTCTACTGTAATGATCCATGTAATGTCTGCCTTTCCCAATAGACCACAAGCATTGTGGGGCCATTATGTCTGTTTGATGCATGACTATATATCTTCAGCACCTACCACAGTGCTTGGCACATAGTACCTCTGAAAACATATCTGTTGTCTAAATGAATGAATGACTAAAACAAAGAATAAAGCCCAAGGGAACTCTATAATTTGAATGTTGAATGTCTCCCAAAAGCCCATGTGTTAAAGGCTTGATTCTCCCAAAGTGTTGCTTTGGAAAGTTGCAGAACCACTGGAGGAAGAACCTTCTGGGAGGTCCTTAGGTTATAGGAGGCATGACCTTGAAGGGGACTGTGGGACCCCAGTCTTCTTTCCTTCCTGCTCATGAGGTGAAAACTTTTACCCAAGTTTTGTTCCACCACATGCTCCCACCAGAGTATGCTGCCTCAACACAGGCCCAAAACAATAAGGCCAACAGATCATAGACTGGAACCCTCAGAAGTGTGACCCAAAATAAACCTTTTCTCTTTATTAGTTGATTATTTTTCAGGTATTTGTAATAGTAACAGAAAACTGACTAATACAAGGACAAAACCAAAAATGAATCTCAATGCCAAAAAATAATCTGAATCCACTAAAACAACATAGGGTTGGGGTCAGAGAATAAGAGAGAGAGATGGGTAAACACTTTATGGGGCAGTTTACTCCTCTGCAAGTCTGGCATACTAAATACTTATAACAGGATTGTTATGAGTATTAAGGAAGTTAATGTAAATAAAACACTTAGTACAGGACCTAGCATATGTTGGCACTGCATTATAATTGTTATTTTTATTCACTTGGGCATTTTTCCTAGGCTGTGCACCCCATGACAAACAGTGAATTTGGGGATGGTGTACAGAGGCAAGCATATGCCAGAAGGGACATTTTGTGGCCTGGGATAACCCTTTCTCATCCCAGAGGGCCTAGAGTGCAGAGGGTTGAGGGGTCTGCTACTCCCTGAAGTTTCCTGTTATCTATCATATAGTACAGAGTAGAATTGTATATGGAAATGCACACAAACCATTGCTGTATTTTCAACCCATCTGGAGAGCTGGGCCAAATGAGTATTCCATCTTTATCCTCCCAAGTCCCCAAGAATAACACATCAAAGAGCATGTTTGCATCCTTACAACAGATAACAGCACTGCCATAAGCTTCAGGGTCCACACATGCTACAGATAGAATGAATTAATAATTTCACATATTTATAAAATATAAATTAACTTGAGAAATATATAACTCCAAGTAAAATTCTTGCTTTTAAAAAATGAGCAGAGAGAAAAGCTCTTTGATAAATGAAAAGCTAGTAAATTTTTATTATGTGGCATTATCAAATTGGCATTTATCAGGAGGAATAAATCATTCCTCTCTATATGCAGGTGTTTACACAACAGAGAAGCATCAAGCTATGATGGGGGGTGCAGTGGGGTTCAGACAACTGACTTTTTAATTACATTTGCTTAGTTGGCTATTTTTTTTTAACAAAAGAAAAGCAAGTAATAGGATCAGTAAGAATTCTAGAGGCTCCAGTGCCTTTACATAAGCACAGTAAATTACTCATGAAAACCATGGAGCATTTACCTTCGTCTTTGTGTATAATATACCATGTCTGCGTGGAACCAGTTTGCTTTGATGGTAAACAGCTATTCTCTCTGAAACCTCGCCTTATCTTGTGTTGAGAGGCTCCCTTAATAGCCGAACTGGTTTCCCTGGAAGAAGAAAAAGAAAGCAGTGCAAGAAATGTATGTATTAGATGTCTTTCTTTTCCATAATAATGTAATGACAATTTGTATTCATATTAAAATATGTGAAAAACTATATACCAACTTTGTAGAGAAGTGGTAAAAAATGTAAAACAGCATCCCATATTAAATACTTAACAAAGAAAAAAAATGTCCCTCTATTCTACAAGGACACGATATTCTGAAAATCAACCTTTCTATTTTCATGTTCCTGACCCTGAAATAGAAGAGTATGTATATCTGCAAGAAGGTGGTAGGCAAGTAGATTACTTATTATTGTTCCTGGGATTATTTTGTTGCTGAATAGGCCTGAGGGAGGCTGTGTATTCCTAAGAGGTGTTTCCACACACTATTAAAGACACCATCATTAGAAACGAGAGCAACTTTGGAACTTGAGGTTCTATTTTTCTCATTCAGAATTTTTCTACTCAGAACCTGAACTAGTACTACGGATTTAAAAAATATCTATGTATCTGTATATAGATATACACATAGTGTAGAATTTTATAGCCATGAAAGAAAAAAATAAGATTATAAAAAGAAGTCATTAGCATCAGCCCCAGGTAAAGAAATACATTAGCTGAGATAGAAGGTCTTTATATGTAAAGCCAGCAACACTTATTTCCATATTGCAAAACATGTCAAGTTTTGCAGAGATAATGGTATTGACTGAAAAATGTTAATTACAATATATCTCCCAGAAGCACCCTGAGCTAGAATCTCACACTCTAGATCAGGATGGTCTATAGAACAGACCAAAGAACTCACCCCTGGCCACTCCTCCCACTGCCTTTTCTAAATGCCCCCAGGTGAACTAGAAAATTCCCCATTGGCAGCAGAGCCTGGAAGTGGCATCCAGAAGGACCAGAGTTCCCCTTAGCGGAAGCTCTCTAAGGGCCCCCCCAGCCCCAGACAGCAGAAGATTCACTGAGAATCAGGCCTGTGAACTCTATCCAGTCTAGGCCACCCGGCCTCTTGGCAAGACCCACCTGGGCAGACACTCAAGCACCGCAGCCACACACAGAGCCACCTGAGAGAAGGGAAGTGATTCTTCCTGATCCACATTCTTCCACCCTCCATGTGTAAACCGAGCAAATTCTGTCCTTCACTCCAGCATATCTGGGAAAACTGTATATACAGAATAAAATAGCAATGCGTGGAAAGAAGAGAAGCAGAGTAGTTTGTGTTTCCATGCTTGACCAGAACCCATAATACCCAAACTTCATCCTAGACCTGTTCTTTCACTGCTCAAAAATTATGTTGCTCATTTCCAAGATGTGGCCCTGATATAAAGCTTATCTGAGAAGTGAAATGATGGGGATGGACAGGGTATAAAAACTACCTTTATCAGAAATTTCTACTGTACTAATGTCTCTGAATAAATCATCTCTGGAAGTGTCTAATATTACTCCATTCTACAGAGGAGGAAACAGAAGCTCAGAGACATTCATTATTTACCCCAGATTTGTACGGCTGATATCTGAGCTAGGATTCAAACCCAGATTTTTAAAAACCCTGGGTTTTTTTTTGTTTTGTTTTGTTTTGTTTGTACCTGGGATTGAACTCAGGGACACTCAGCCCCTGAGCCATATCCCCAGCCCTTTTTTGTATTTTATTTAGGGAAAGGGATCACTTAGTTGCTTAGTGACTAGTCATTGCTGAGGCTGGCTTTGAACTTACAATCCTCCTGTCTCAGCCTCCTGAGCCACTGGGATTACATGCATGCACCACCACACCTGGCAAACCTTGTGCTTTTAACCAGTGAACAAAACTATACTGCTTAATTTTGTAGATAAGGCAAATGTGGACAGTATGAAAAGAACCAATTTATTCATTTAACAAGGATCAGTTTAACATCGATTTGGCAATGGTTTCATCAAAATTCTCATGACAAGGGCTGGGGCTGTAGCTCAGTGGCAGAGCGCTTGTCTAGCATGGGTGAGGCACTGGGACTGATCCTTAACACTACATACAAATAAACAAATAAAATACAGGCATTCTGTCCATCTACAACAACAAAGAAACTTGAAGAAAAAAATTCTCATGACAACCTTCTCAACAGCATTTGAAAGACGGAATTACAAAGGCATAAAATGTGTTCACCAGTCATATTCACAAAGATATTCATACACACACATTTAAGTTAAATGAATGGAATGGTACAAACACAGGAAGGCGCACAGGGCAGAACGCTGCATCATGTGATCCAATGGTCTGTTCTGTGGGTGTTAGGGGTTCCCTCCAGCCACACAGACAAGAACACGTACTGTTATACCCAGAAACTGAAAAGAGAGAGGCTAGTGTTGCCTCCCTCGTGAGCTTATCAAAGAGAACCCTACCCTAAAGCAATGTGGGATTCCCACTAGATCTAGGAACCAAACCAATGACAGGGAGAGACAAACTGATGAGACCCCAATAAAGTCTGGGGTTTAGCTGATAATAACATTCCAATGTAAATAATGTTTTGACAGATACATCATAATTATGTAGAATATTCACAGTAGGGTGGGACTGGGTGCAGAGAACATTATACTGTTGACCCTAGAATAACACATAATGAACTGGAGAGTCCTATTACACGCTAATTTTTTTTTATGTTTTTTTATTGAAGACAAAATTTATAGCCTGGAAATATTGAAAAAATCGAGAGGATGTAATATATGTAGATTCTACCAATTTTATCATCTACTACCATAAAATATACACGAATCTGTTATTAAAAAGTGAAATGCAGGGGGCTGGGGGCTCAAGCGGTAGTGCGCTCGCCTGGCATGCGTGCGGCCAGGGTTCAATCCTCAGCACCACATACAAACAAAGATGTTGTGTCCGCCGAGAATTAAAAAATAAATATTGAAAATTCTCTCTCTCTCTCTCTCTCTCTCTCCTCTCTCACTCTCTCTTTAAAAAAAAAAAAAAAGTGAAATTCAGGGGCTGGGGTTGTGACTTGGGGTAGAGTGCTTACCTAGCATGTGTGAAGGACTGGGTTCGATTCTCAGCACCAGGTACAAATATATAAAATAAAGGTCCATTGGGCTGGGGATGTGGCTCAAGCAGTAGCGTGCTCGCCTGGCACGTGTGCGGCCCGGGTTCGATCCTCAGCACCACACAAAAAGATGTTGTGTACACCGAAAACTGAAAAATAAATATTAAAAAATTCTCTCCCTCTCTGTTAAAAAAAAAATAAAGGGGGGCTGGGGATGTGGCTCAAGCGGTAGCGCGCTCGCCTAGCAGGCGGGCGGGCCGGGGTCGGTCCTCCGCACCACATACAAACGAAGATGTTGTGTCTGCCGAGAACTAAGAAAAAATAAATAAATGTTAAAATTCTCTCTCTCTCTCTCTCTCTGTCCCCCTCTCTCTCTCACTCTCTCTCTTTAAAAAAAAAATAAATAAATAAAGGTCCATTGACAACGAAATTTTTTTTAAAAAAAGGTGAAATGCATAACACTTTTGCACACACAGACCATACCTGGTGCCATTCACAGCTAACAGAAATGGAAACAAATGTAAATATTCAGTATGAAATCATAATTACATAAAATTAACTGGAGTGCACACTGTAGTACTGTAATGGTTTCATAGCTACCTCCTGTTGCTGTTGTGGTGAGCTCAAGCAATAAAGTACACGCTTAAAACATCATGTGACCCTAATCAGCTCCATGTGAGCAGTTCCTCTGTCTAGTATATTGTACATCACGATAAAAACAGATTTCTTGCGGTTCTTATGCATTTTTCACCATATAACATACAAAATACAAGTTAATCAACTGTTTATGTTATCCATTAAGGTTAGCAGTCAACTGCAGGCTATCAGCAGTTAAGTTTGAGGGGAGTCAAAACTTATATATGGATTCTCAACTGCTCTGGGGGTTTGGCACCCTGACTCTGCATTGTTCAAGTGTCAACTGTACTATCTTCAGAACTTTTCAGCAAATCTAAAGTTATTCTAAAATAAAATATTTGATTTTAAAGTTAAGATTTAAATAGAAAATGAGAACGAGAATAGGAAATCATCTTCCTAGCCCCTTACATCCATAGACGTAAACCATAAAAGATAGTTTTGCAAATGTTGAAATATATATGGTTTACACAGCTATTAAAATCATTGACTGGGTATATTTAAAGACATACAAAATGATTCTCAGAGATTAGAAATACACATCAGCTAGACCAGAATCTTGCATTGTCTGAGTAACTCTCCAGGGAGCTATTCTCCTGTGAGTACTTCATTAGGAAGGATTCTCTTTGCTGCGATGGGTATTAAAAGATTCTGCCACTAGACACAAAAGAATAATTGAAAAAAAAAAACAGCAAAAAATGCCATCTTCTCGGAGAAAGACTTGACATCTTAAAATGTCATTTTTTCCCCCTAAGCAATCTGTAAACTTAATGTTTCCCAAAAAGGCTAACTATTTTTGTAGAAGTAGATGATTTCGATATCCATAAGTAAGCAAGCATCTCCATGAAAATTTGGAAAAAGAAAAGTAATGAAAGTGAGTAAGTTCTGCCACATTTAAAAATTCATAATAAAAGTACAGATTCAAAAGCAAAGTGGGCCAGGCACAGTGGCACACACCTGTAATCCCAGTGACTTCAGAGGCTGAGACAGAAAGACCGCAAGTTCCAAGCCAGCTGAGACTCTAAGCAACTTAGTGAGACCCAGTCTCAAAACAAAAAATAAAAAGGCCTGGGATGTAGCTAAGCTGTAGAATACCCCTGGGTTCAATCCTGAGTACTGCAAAACAAAAAACAAAACAACAACAAAAAACAAACAAACAAAAAAAAAAAACCAGTAGTACTAGTGTTTGACTGAACAAACTAATCAATGGAATAAAGTAGAATGTCCAAAAATAGATCTAAATTCACAAGGGAACTCAATATATAATGCTAATTCTCAAGGCACTAATGAGAAGATATGTTATTCAATAAGTGATATTGAGGCAAGTGGGTGGTGATATGGGAAATATCAC